CAACCAAACATTGATAAGGTTAAAAACATTGACAATATAAGTTTCAATATTTGTATGTATATACGTATTATTAAGTTTACGTGGCATTTGAAAATATTTTTTTCTGATAAGAGAACAACATTTTTATATAAATTACACATAACCAATATGCAAAACTAATCTATGAAGTATAGATAATACACACAATGTACGTTTTACTCCTTTAGTGACGTTATCATTAAAAAATAAGGTTAAAGTCAAGAAATTTTATTACATGATGGCAAACACCGGGTTATTAGTTTTAACAAATCCTAAAAAAGTGATAAAATTATTGCCGATAATTAGAAAACACATATTAAAAACTTTATATATTCAATATTTTCCGGAAAAAAATATTTTTCTCTCTGGAAATTATATGATTGCAAGTTCTCAGTCGAGAATGAGTCATTATGCTCAAATCATTTCCAAGATTTATACTGATACATCTATTGTATCTTCTCGACTTGATGTTCGAGTGTTACTTACAAGTATAAAAAATCCTAATATATCAATAATAAATACCAAGAAGCCTGTGGAGATAGTTATTTTTGATCAAATTTGTAGTAAAAGAGAAGCTGACACATTCATTCAAGACTATTTAGCTAATACTTCTATGGGCTGTAGTTTTATTAATCTTGGTGATGATTTAAATTCAGAAAAGCTAGACATTATAACGCCTTGCTTTCTTGAAGAAAAAACCTACAAGAATGTTGTACTTGGAGGTACATTTGATAAAATACATAATGGACATAAAATATTTTTAAGTGAAGCTGTATTACGTTGTACAGAGAAACTTACAATTGGTGTAACTGATACAAATATGTTGTCTGGTAAGTATGCAGATAACTCATTATTAAATTATTATAGAATCTTATAAATAAAAGAAGTTCTTTTATACAAACTAAAACTTTTTTTTATAGTTTTTAATACTTTGATTAATTGAATTTACAGCAAAATTATTATGGGAACTAATAGAACCTTGTTCCACAAGAATTTCAAATCTGAATAACTTTTTAGAAGACATAGATTCAACTATAACATATAATATTGTGGCTATAAATGATATGTATGGACCGACTAAATATGATCCAACATTTGAGATGATAGTAGTTAGTGAAGAAACAAAACGTGGTGGAGATAAAGTAAATGAAATGCGTGAAAAAAACAATTTGAACAAATTAGACATTCATGTTGTGAAATTAATAAGCGAAGAAAATCATAAAAGCCATGAAGAAAGTAAAATCAGTTCTAGTAATCAAAGAATAAGATTATTGGGAACAAAACTTCGAACTCCTGTATGTATTATATTAAATTATATTATATGTAAGTTTTAATTATAATAATTTTTTAGCAAATAGAAAACAAACCTTTAAAACCTTATATCATTGGTTTGACTGGAGGTATAGCAAGTGGAAAATCATCTGTAGCCAAAAAATTACAAAAATTGGGTGCTGCACTTGTCAATTGTGATAAAATAGCACATGATTTATATCAACCTGGTAAAAGATGTTTTGATATGATAGTTGAAACTTTTGGTTCCGGTATTTTGAAACCTGATAGATTTATTGACAGAAAAGCACTTGGAAATATAGTATTTAATGATCAAGTAAGTTTTTATATTATTACTAATATTTAATGGTAATATTTTGAAGTTTATATTTATGAATATAAATTTATTTGTAGACGCAATTAAACAAATTAAATAACATAGTTTGGCCTGTCATTTTAGAAGAAGCAAAAAAAGAAATAAATGATTTTCACACAAAAGGATTTGACATAATTGTGATGGAAGCTGCTGTTTTAATTCAAGCTAAGTGGCAACATGAATGCCATGAAATCTGGACTTGCATTATTCCACAAGAAGAGGTGAACTTTTAATTTGTAAATTAAAAATTAATGTTTCATATTAGAATACTTTTGTTACTTAAATTTAAAAGTTCTTTGAATTAATTGAAACATTGTTATTTAAGCATTATTATTAGTGTTTTTAATTCATTTAATTTTTTGTTTACATTAGTGTTTTTAATTCTTTTAATTTTTTTATTCAATTTAGGCTATACGACGAATAGTAGAGAGAAATGGATTAACCGAAGTTGATGCAAAATTAAGAATTCAAGCTCAACCAAGTAATGTTGAACAAATCAATGAAGCTAATGTTGTGATATGTAGTTTATGGAGTCATAACATTACTGAAGAACAAGTGGAGAAAGCATGGAATGAGTTAATGGCATTTTTAACCACTCAAGTAAAAAGTTAATGAAAATTTTATTAGTATAAAATTACAAAGATCTGTTTTTATTATTTTATTTTATAAAATGGGTTATAAAGTTAGTTTTTAATGAATTATATTTGGATAAATTTGAAATGTTTCCATATAAATAATTCCATTGAAATAATTATAAAGAAATATTTGTTATACACTATTCATATATAATATTCATATATAATATACATATTCAATATATATTATTCATACATAAGTGTATTATAAAATGTAATTATAATGCACAAAATGTGAATATATATAAATATTATCTAAAAACATGATTTATTTTTTTTTACAAAAAATGTTTAGGATAATAAATATTTTTAAAAAAATTATTAAAATTGATTATGCCATATAATATTGAATTTTATTTCGCAAATAATATATTTTCATTTAAAACATTTTTATCTTCTTGATTTGTATAATTATGCATTTTATTTAATATTGTACTTATGAATGATGCAAAATCAACTTTTAACTTACTGCCACCACTTTCGATGTTACATTTGATATGAGATATCTTCATAAATGTTGAAGCTATTTATATAAAAAAAAAAAACAATAATAAAAATACAAATCATTATGAATATTACAATTATTAATGTTATAGATACTTACAAATAATTTTTGATATTTCGGAATTTCTTTTTTCTGGATCATAACAAAAAATCACACATCTGTCTGGATCTAATTTTGTTTGATCAATAAAATAATCATATAATTGTTGAATTTCTTTTAAACAATCACTTGATTTTTCGTTATATACAAATATAACGCCATGAATATCTTTTCTTATAGCTGGCCAACAATTTTCGAATCTAAAATATTTTTATATGTATAGTTTATTATTTTTTGAATAAACAAAATATTCATATATACTTATGATCTCCACTGCAATCCCATAATTCAATATCTTTTGTAATATGTTTATTGTTCATAATTATGTTTTGTATTTCAAATTCTAATATTCGAACACCTTTAGTTGGATGATAATCATAGGGTATTTCAGTAGCATCAGCAAGAAAATTGGATATTGTTGTTTTACCACTCTAAAAAATATTTTTTAAATAATTGAAATTAAAATTA